CCTGCTTCAGATTCTGTGTCTCCCTCTCTCTCCGCCCCTCCCCTCCTCACACTCTATCTCTCTCACACCCTCTCTCTCTCACACACACAAATAAATAAATGTTAAAAACTTTTCGTCATAAGTGGGATACAGGAAATCCTGCACTTTTGGAAATTACTCATCCCAGGTGGTGAACAAATGTGACTTTGTTTTAAATGGCTAAGACTTGAGTACTGTCTATGTGCGGTGTCCTGTGCTAAGTGCTTTACAGTGACTGTTTCATTTCATCTTCATGACAATCTTTTAACTTGTTTGTACACATGAGAAAATGGGGGGAGATACTTCAACTACCCAAGTCTGCACGCGAGGAAATTACACATTGGGATTCAGAGCCACACCAGCTGGTCTCAGAGCTCAAGCTCCTTAAAACATTTTAACATACAGCCTCGTGGTCCAAATATTTTATTTTCTGGGCTCTGTCTACAGTGGTAAACATGCTTCTGAGGAAAATAATGCTACAAGGTAGACCAAAGTACACACGAAAAGACCCAAGGGGAAAAAATGTGTCTAAGATTACCCCAGTTTCTTGAGTGACTTATGCTACATATTTGTGGGACCAAGCTGATTTTTTACATGTGACAAACAGAAGGGGATTTGCTAAACATTAACAGTGGCCTTAAAATAACTCAGAACAAGTATTTTCTTTTTTAAGAAAAGCATTATTTTAAGTACTTTGGAAGCACCTATTTACAAATGATTACAAATCAGCCTGATGGGCTTCCTAAGCAGATCACAGTGATGATTTCTTCTAAGAACTATGGGGAGGTTAGCTTGATAATTCATTCAACAACAACCATTTTAGAGCACTCTGTAAAAAACCGGTTAAATGCGAGGTGTTGAGAGACGACAACACCAAGGAGTCTCTGCCCTCACAGTTTGGCAACTACTTAATAAATGAGGCATTTATTCCTACCAAACAATAATAAATAACATCCTCATTTCAAATTTAATTCAAGAATTTTATTTGGTCAGGGGCTCAGTCGGTTAAAGCACCCAACTCTTGATTTCAGCTCAAGTCATGATCTCCTGGTTTGTTAGTCTGAGCCCCACATTGGGCTTGGTGCTGAATCTGTTTGGGGAATCTGTTTGGGATTCTCTCTCTCTCCGCCCTTAGCCCACTTATGTGTGTGCGTGAGCACACTCTCTCGCAAATAAATAAGCTTAAAAAAATTGCATTCAGTCAAATCGACCCTTCTTTCAGTGCCTACATCTCTGAAGTCTGTCTTTCCACCACTAAGTCCTAAGCACTTGCACTAAAATGTGCAATTATTCGTTTTAAAAGTTGCTGTGCTGGCCTTTAACCACAGCTGGTGCTTCTGTGTTGAGGACTCCCACACCAGCAGGTCGCCAAGGGCAGAAACTACAGACCCACCCTGGGCTCCTCCCTCAGCCCTTACCAAGTCCTGATGATGTTCACTTGCTCGAAAATCTCAACCCTCTTCCTCCTCTGCACCACTCTTAGTTTTGACCTTGATTCTTGTCAGGACTTCTGTAATAGGGAAGTTTTTGTTTTGTTTTGTTTTGGCCTCATCGAAATGACTATTTAGGTTTTCCTGATTATAACAGAGACATAGCCTCTGTGTAAAACTTTCTACTGTAAACCATAGAAAAAGATGTAAGAAAAAAAGATACCATCCATCACCTTACCACCTAGAAATAACTACCATTGGTGGATTTTTACCCTATACTTATGACTTTTTTTATCCTAAAATCAAAACTGGATCTTACTATACCTACTCTTACTCACTTACAAATGCACCATAGGCATCTTTGTGGGTTAATACCCACAGCTCATCACTGATTGCTAAATTAGTATAGTATTTCAGGGCATGAACTCTTTCCATCAGCTGGGATGCCCCATGGTTCTGGTCTGCCAGATCGCTTTACAGAACCACACTTACCCCAAGTCATGCAATTCTGTTTTATTTAGGTGGTTGGAGTGCTGCCAGTCCTGACCCCTTGGCTGTCTCCATGCCCCATGCCTCCAAGGATAGACACATAATACAGAAGACTCTACATGACTATGGCTCATTTTAAAAGATAGGTGTGTGATCCAAGTCCCACGTATCACAGCTGCTCCAAGACAAGTCAGCTACTTCAATCACCAAGCAGACATGGTAGAAGTCTAGAGCTGCAGATGTTATCTGTGTGCCCATGTGAGAATGAAGCCAGCGAATCCAGAGAAAGGCAAAGCCAAGAGAGGGAGAAAATGAAGATATCCTCCAAGCCCAAATCCAGCTC